AGAGGTCCCTGCCAACCCCCCCCAGTCTGTGATTCTGTGACTGTCACAGCGTGTTCTTATTCAGCTCTGGCTGCGTGTTCATGGGAGAGGCGGCCTTTTGGGAGGCACCCTGTGTTCCTGCAGAGCCACTGCTTCAGGAGCACTGGTGCAGAGCCTCTTGCGCTCGCTGTCCTGGAGGCAGGACCAATAGGTCATCTTCCCCAAACACCTTATCTTACCCGGAGGAAAAGAAAGCAGGCAGAAGGACAGCGTTCTGCAGATTGCCTGGTCTGGTTGAAATGCCCTGTTCCCTGATAAGCCTGCAAGGTTGATGGGGGAGCACATGCAATGCTGTCCTGTTGGGCTTTTGATGGAGAAAACAAGCTGCAGCTTGCGCATTATCCTCCAGTCCTGCTCTAATAGTTGTCCTGGTTCTTTTGCATCTTCACTAAATGTGCCTGGAGTGCTGGAGTTAGCGACCATCACAGCGCTTCCCTCCTCTCAGCTGGAGAAGAAACCCTAGCAGCTCCCTTCCCTTCTCCACAGAGCCAGGGGACAGGAAGAGGGATGCGATGGGAGGGTCTGAGCACCGGGGCCACTGAAGGAAGGCTGAAGCAGGGCTCACGGAAGCCCTTGGTGCTTTCCCAACTGCTCACACCCATCAGCATCCTCAGGGTATGGCACCAGCAAGAGGTGGCCTATGCAGACTTGTCACCCCACTGCTCTGGAACAGCACGCGAGGAGCAGGACGTCAAATGCCGAGAGCCATCAGGTATGAAAGCCCACAAACTCCGCACATGCAGTCTCCATCGGAAAGCAAGTGGCAGGGACACCTCAGGGAAGCTGCTGTGGGCAGCCCTTGCCATGCTGTGCACACAGGGAAATTATAGGGCTATAAATAACACTAATGGCCAGGTAGAGCACAGCAGGCTACCGTAATGATTCCTTGCTGTGAGGGACAGTTAGAAGCATTTCTTAAAGCCCAGGGAAGAGTCCCCAGCCTGGACATGACTGCTCCGGTGGATGGAGACCAGCTCCAGGCAGTCTTTGTGAAGGGTTGCTCCTCTCCCCTCTGTGCAGCGTGTATTTCCATCATACTCTGCAGCCAGCTTGGGGTGACCACAGCTTGTCACTGCAGCTGATTTCCACCCAAAGCTTCAATCTCATTTTTGCAGCAGGCAAGAGCTTAAAGCAGCATCCAGCCCCTCCACCCACGCTGAACGGTGGAGGAGAGGCCTGGGAGACTGCAGCCTTGCAGATGGGTGCTGAAATTTCAGGTATCTGCATGAACCTCCTGGCTGGCTGTGGGTAGAAACATTTCCTTGTCTGGCTCAGAGATAAGCAAGCTTTATCCAAAACAGAATGTTCAGCAGAGCGGGGAGAGGAGAGCAGAGCAGCTGGGGGAGTGTGGATAGCAGAAGCTGCAGCCCAGACATCAAGGACGAGCAGCCTGGTTTACAGCAAGACAGATCGGGAGTTATCCTCTGTGGGCACAACATTGCCAGTCCCGCCTGCCAGTTTGGCAGACAGCAAGCGCCACAAGGACGGCTCGCTCCAAGGCCAGCCGTGCCACCACGTGCCATCCAGCTCCACGCCAAACCAACAGTACATGTCACCCTCCAGCCCACTGCCACCAGAGCTGAGCCACTGGGCAACCAGCTGCTGGTGGATGCACTGGCCATGCCTGGGAGGAAGCTGAAAGCAATAAATAATAACTGGCAAACACCAGCTCAGACTAGCAAGGGGAAAGGGATTCACTCACTGACCCGGGACCTTGGAAGTATCATGCCATGCATCTGAGTACACAGGCACAATGCAGAAATAGGTTGCGGTTCTGGACCTTGGCTCTGGAAACTTCCTGCCGTTGGGAGATTTTAATGCAAGAAAATAATGCAGCGTTGTTATACTTTTATCCTTTAGCTTCCCTTAAATTAAGAAGTAATAAAAAGTGTCTGCAACACATTTCTTGAAGTGTCTGCAGCCTCTGCAAGTGCATCTACAGCAATTAATTGTGCTTTAGATCAATGGTAAAGAAGGACTTTGAAGATATGGATTCCCTGAATATAAGTGACATTCAAGCTCAGTTCTCCTAAGACATGTCCCTCAGGCAGAGGTTGCAGTCAACTTCTAAAGATAGGTGCGATTTCCTGGGAGACCCGTCTTGCATGTAATGCGTAGCTTCCCATCCCTAAGAGCCATCTCTTCTCAGAAAACCACTTAAAGCAGTACAAAGACACACAAGACACACAGACGTGCACTGAAAGATAGAAGCAGTGTCTCGATTTACTATGGGACTAGAAACAGCATGTAACATCCTCCTCTAGATTTCTCCACTTTTGAAGCCCAAGACGCAGCTGTCCTCCTGCCAGCCCTCTGCTTTCTGACATCCTGCAAGGTAGTAAAGGTGAAATGACAGAGCAAGTTGGGAGATACGCAAACAGTTAAGCCATCTTTTTGCTGAAGTCATGTTTGAGTTCCTGCAAAATAAACAAATAAATAAATGAAAGGAAAAAAATACCAAGGCACAGAGGAGAGAACACTATACAAAGTTGCCCTCTGCCGGTCACAAGCCAAAGGAAAGCAATCCACCTGAGCTCCATGCCAATGATTTGCAACTTCCCTCCCTCCTTTTACAGATGGATCCCTAAAAATATTCTCTATGGAAGGAACTGTGCTGTAAAACGTAAATTTAGTGTTTTTTTCCCACGACAGCTGAAGTGATCTAGCAGCAAACTACTAGCAAGGGCAGTCCAGCCACACCTCTCCTTTGTTTCGGATCTTGTTATCCTTGGGCAAGTCAAACAGTTTCAGTTAAAATCCAATAGGAAAACAAAAGCATTGAGAGAAATCTTCTGCCAGGCCTGTCACCTGAACTGACTCCCTAGTTGCCTTGATGTAATATAAGGAAAGTGGTGAGAACACAGGGCCAGGGAAAAAAGGGACTCATCGACATTACTTGAGACTGGCTTTGCTGCAATGGTTAACTTTTGCAGGCATTTGAGACGTAGCCCACAAGTCCCTGCAAGTCAAAAACAGCTCTTGCAGTCAATACTATGAGCTGAAAACTATTTGAGGCACTAATGAATTCAGAGCATGTTTCCCTCTCTGTTTGAAATAGCAATGTTATTTGATTATAGCTATGATTTTAAACAATTTCCAGGAAGTATTGAGAGCTTGCTCAAATGATACAGATTGCAGGTTTTAAATCTGTCCTGTTAAGTCAGCCTATTAAAACAATGCAGATCTATTGCACAGACACATCAGTATCAGCTCAACTCTTTCTTGTATCAGTTTAATTACTGCTGGTGTAAAACCCTGATTTAATTTACTGACTGGGAATTAAATCAGCATGAATTGGTTTCAGTGTATCTGTGCTGGGTATTTGTGATGATCAAACTAGACCATTTTAAAACAACGTCATTGGATTAGAGAGCTCCACTGACAGAAACAAGGTCTTAAGAGATGCAATATAATAATCTTGGACACTAAAGAACAGTACATGCAGTGAGTGGGCAGTCCTCTCCTCCCACTTCATTCTTTTCCACTGAAATTGAACCCTTTCTGCAAAAACATTTCACAGTCAGGAGAGTTTTGTACATGTCCTCGTAGTGCTGGGACTCTAGGGAAATCAACAGGCTGCAACGATCAGATTGTCTTTGGGATAGATGTCCAGATGGCACGGGGCTGTGTGCACTGGGAGCTATTCTGAAACCCAACATTTTACGTCCATGAGCATAGCAGAGTGCTGGTTTTTTCCATCTTAGAGTTTAGTGGAGGATTAACAGTGATATTAACAGAATCAGATGTTGGAGGTCCTTGTGCTAACAACCCACCCCCTGCATCACGTACCCACACGGGTCTTTGTGTCCCATCGCCCTCCCTGGTATTGCTGGGGCCACTGCTCTCTCTGGTCAGTCTTTGGGATTTTCATGCACGATATGCTCTGGGAAGCTCTAGGTTCACCTGGGAATGGCACAGAGGCTGCGTTCTACCTCTTCACTATAGCCATGGTTGGGATCACATAGGCTTTACAGAGTAACTAAGGGGTCTCACACAGAAATGCTGCTGGCTGCACGTGGCCCAGCTGCTTCTCCGATAGGCGGGGTTTGCTGAAGCTGGACCTGCAGGTCTTTCCTACTTTGTGCTTCCCAGGAAGCAGTCTGTTTTACTGGGAGAGCTGGAAAACGCTCAGATCTCTCTCTTCAGCATTTCATACATCTGCTATATACCTAGCCTCCTCACCAGGCAAGGCTACTATGCGGACTTCTCCCCAAGGTAGGACGCGTTCTTTCCAGTCTTCTTCAGGGTTTCCAATAGGGTGTCAACGTTGTGCTCTGAATCAATGCACACCTTCTTGTTGGGCAGGTCAATATCAAACTGGACACCTATGGGGAAAGGAAAAATATTTTGCGCAGCTAGAAGCAGCCAAATGGTGTGAGCACAAGGAAAGCTCACCTTCTCACATTTGTGCTCCCAAGGTCATCAGTCACATATACATGTGCCTCCAGCCAGCAAACCCTGATATCAGCAGCCAGCAAAACCAAACTGGTGCCCTGCCAGCAGGATGAAGGAAGCCAGATGTTCTACAGATCTGCATCAGGCACCACAGTTTCTCAGCTGCTTTAATCTGCTCAGCCCACCTTGGACCAACACAATCACTCATGCAATAACCAGAATGAGCTGAGTTTAAACCAACCACTATAATCTCCAACCAGCTCAGCCTGTGCTGTGGTTTAGCATGGATAGGCACTAATGAAGGAGCTAGCGTAGGGGTTAGGACAAGGTCAGGACAGGTTTCCTCAGTGGTGGTACCAGCTAACAGCTGTAAGTAGGAGGAAGGAAAAGACATTTTCCCATGTGGATTTCCCACTGGCTAATAAGGGTGAACCACTCTCAACCCAGTGAAAGGAAATGAACATGAAGTCTCTAGGCAGCCACGTATTTTCACAAAACTTGTAGGCATGTATCAGCTTTGAGAGCTCTGCCACATCACCACATGAAGCTGATATTGGCTAGCATGTTGAAGAGTGACGGAGGTGCTGACAACCACACACAGAGGAAGTGGGATCACCGCAGCCTGATAACAGGGTCTGGAAGAAGTTGCAAGGCCTTTGCCTTGGTGACTGAAAGCTGTTCTCACTTGGTGAGGAGCAGGATGACAGGTCCTCATAACTGGGGAGTGAAGGCTAGATCCTTCTCTCTTGGTAAAGCCAGCATAAAGGAGGCATGGGTTATAATTTTCCAGTTGGTATTAAAAACAGGCTATGCAGGCAACCACCAAATGCTCTGCTCAGCAGCTATTCACTGTGACTGCTGATGACACATCTAGGGAAGCATCACAGATACCCCAGGCATTGGGAACAATGCCTGGCAGGACATCCACCTCCCTTCCTTCTGGCAGCCTGAGCAGGGGTCTACCAGTGTCATTCCCAGAGAGTTCAGGATGAGACCCTGGTGATTCAGAGCCACCTGCAGCCACAGCAGCACCTCCCTCCCTTGACATTTCTCCAAGGGTCACAAGAGACTCTCCAAGAGACTCTTCTCCAATAGTCCTGTGAACAATCAGTGAGTTGTTACTGACTAAGCAGCAGGCTCAGAGCAGAGCGGCGAGCGGCGGTTTCCAACCTGCCACTTTCAGCTTTTACCCACAGCACTACCCTTGCAAGATGAAGGATCCCAGGGCACCGACATCCTGCCCCAGAGCTGGCGTTGCTCCTGAGGGCTGGCTGTCACACACCCAGCACTGACTCACCTCCCAGCCTGTGCAGGACACGGGTGACCGCATTGGAGCAGCCTTCACAGGTCATGTCCACAAAGAACTCGTGTTTCTGAAAAGAGGCAGACGAGGGGTCAGGGATGGCACAGCTGGCAACGCACCACGAGCACTCATCCTCCACACTTGCCTTTTTCCTTGGGGAGGTGGGTTCAAATCCTCCCTGGCCAAAAGGTCCACATGTGTCACTAAGGGATCTTCAGCAACACCAAGACGTCTCGGTACTCCTCCCTACAGCATCCCTGTGCTGTCCCTCACAGCATAATCCTGAAGGGCTTTTGGAGACTGCCTGCCCCTTACCCAGGGCAGGGCCACCTTAAGGGTCAGCACAGGTTGCCATCTCTGTGGGCCTCTGCTGGACTCCCTCCACTTGCCCTGGGGAGCTCAGGAGAAGGAGGTCTCCTGCCTCCAGCTACCCACTGTCCTGACTTAGTCCGCAAGGTGTTCAGTGCTTGCCCATCCTATTCTTCTTGTGTCTACAAAGCCTCTGGTTCCCCAACGTAATAAACTCATAAAAATATCAACAAAACCGAAATTTAAGCAACATTACTGCTGTTTTTTCATCCCTTCACACTGTTATCTTCACTACTTGTGAGAGATACTGAGTCAATATAAACATGCTTGCCTGTAAAACTAATCATTGCATTCAACCTTTGGCATCAGATGGATCCTAATTTCCTTGCATAGGCTTTTTATGCCTCTTAAAAAAGAAATGTAAAGCTGCTTTTTATTTCTTACCTGCAACCCATATTTCCTTCTATTCAAAACCACCCTTTGCCCCCCACCACTGAAAGCCTAAGACCCTCACGGGCACAATTCACCCGGACGATTCCCATTAGGATTTTCCGGTGTAATTAGCATTTTCTGGAATTTTATTTCACAAATGCCCTGCGTGCTCTGGGGGTCGGTGTGCAGCAAGGAGGGGGCCCAGGGTAGGGCCCCCACC